TCACATTCACCATATCAGTACTGGTACCGCTGGCCAGTAGTGGGTAGAGTAGCTACTCAAATCTTTACTCAAGGAAAAGTACAATTACTCCCATAATAAGTAAAAGGAAAAATGACATACTCAAGTAAAAGTGTATATATTTAAAAATATAATTAATCTGCTGTTAATCAGGTTAGAAACAGCTGTTGTGCAGCAGGTTATTTCTAGGGAATGCAGTTTGCTTTGTTGGTTGATTCTGTGTAATTTAGCTATTTATGTTTAATATAATTATTTTCCTTTTTAAATCTCTGTGAATGTATTGATAAGATCACTTTAAATTAAAGCTGCAAGCAGTGTTGGTTGGGCCCTCGCACATGTAGTGCATCGAGGTGTGAGGCACCCGCGTTGCAGATTCTGGAGCTCTGCCGGTGTGGCTGTGAATTTGCCAAGGGCTTCGGACGCTGCACAAAGATGTTAATCATAACTTCCGGTGTCCCCTTTGTGGCGCTACTTAGCACTTCGCACTACATCTATAACTGAACATGCAGATGATGGGACTGTTATCAAGCACGTAAAGTTTGGTGCAGATGTGAGCATGTACACTGAAGTTACAACAACTTCCTCTTTCATGACGAATCATCGACTTTGGACGCCATGCCATGGGCACACCGATTCACGAAAACTCACTGCTGCGTTGAAAGTCACTTCCTGTTGCCAGTAGGTGGTCGCTATGACTATGGGTGAATGTTGTCTTGAACATGTGTTCAGGGCAAGACTCTTATTAAATGTGTAAAATCTGGTACAGATCTGAGCTTGTACAGTCAGGTTACAACAACTTCCTGTGTCATGGCGAAGTGTGGGACTTCGAAGCCACGCCACCAAACCGAAAACTCACAGGTTTTACGTCATGACCTCATCGATTTGTTAAGGGTTTTCTGGGATAGTTTTGAAGTTTATGTATTCAACCTGCTAGGAGTAGTAAATTACAGTGTAAAACATGTCATTTCCTGTTGCCAGCAGGTGGCGCTGTGACTTGAGTGAATATTGGCATATGGATTTGTTCAGGGTTGGACTATTGTTACACTATTCAAATTTGGTGCAGATGTGAGCATGTGTACTGAAGTTATAACAACTTCCTGTTTCATGGCAAATCACCAATTTTTGATTACACACCATGGGAAAACTGGTCGACTTGTAGGAACTGTTTGAATAACTTTTAATCGACCAAACCAATGGGTTTGGACTGCACAGCAAAAATTTGAAGTTGATCAGACTAAATCCCTAGGAGGAGTTGTAGTGGTTAGCTAACGCTCGCTAACTTCCTTCTGAATGTAACGTAATAAAACCCTACTGTTTTGTAATGATTGTAATAATGAATAGATGCCTACCCAGCTTTACAGGAACAGTGTTGATCCTTAATATCGTTGTCCTCTTTCTCAATCGTCAGGTAATATGGTGGTTCACTTTTACTGTGTGATTGGTAGATTTAAGCTTCTTCTTTCATTTTTTTCACATCAGTTTGACAGCCTCAATAAAACATTTAAATGCACAATGCAACTGCAAAACTGTCTTCTTTCTGAGATCGCTTCTGAGATTTTCCAACAAATTTGACAATATTTCTCCGGGGAGTGCAGTAATAGTAGCTAAGGGGGCGGGGCTTAGCAAAGAGGCAATTATGTTACACTACTGTTTTTTTTTTTTGAGCATCGTTAGCATAGCTTGTCTTGCTTGAAGCTGGCTAATTAGCTAGTTAAATGGCTAAGCTAATGACATGAATGTAATGTACCGATACCTGCTACTTATTGCTAACAACGCATTAAAAAAGTACTAGGATTTCACTTACCAACTGGGGCACATGCTTCTTGGAAGGTCTGTTAGTACAATAAACCGATTACAAATTACTGGGATTACAAAATCTAGAGCTTTCACCAAGTCTCTTGGATACATATCAATTCTGGTGCTTCTTTAAATTCATCAACAAACCTTTTAAATTCTTGACCATTTCCTATTAGACTCCGGGATTCCATTGAAGAATATACCACATTAAGTCTGCACACAGTTACAATTGGCCTTCTATTTTCTATTTTCCTCCGTCGGTGACGTCCGGACAGTCTCACCGCTGACAGGCTTTCGCAACATAGCATCATGTGAATTTCTCGCTCAAGTTAAAGTAAAAAAAAAATTGGAACTCGAGCGAACAAGCCAACTGTCACAACAAATGCATCTTCTGCACTGCCCGGGAATTCACATTAATTTGTATTGACTTTTTATGTAATCAAGCCACGCAAAACGCTCGCTTGGTGTTGTATGTGAACACAACATGTAGTGCAATAAATCTTTGCGAGGAAAAAGACAACTTTATCAATACACCTGTTTAGCATAAACATGTACAGTATAACATAATATTTTAATCTGCTCAGTCTCTCATCCACCACAGCTGTGTTTTGGTTTTAGCACAGCACTAGCTCGGCTAATAAGTTATTGTTACAAACAAGCTAAAGTGAAAGCTGTCTGTCTTTAGTAACTGTTTAGTTTGCAACATAGCTTAAAATATGGCACATATAAACTCAGGTACTGTCTGAGACAAACCGGGGGGGGGGGGGGGACAGGAGGAAGGACTGATAGGGATGAGTTCATAATTTTTTTTCAAAACTTCACTCAGTATTTTGATGTCAGGAATATGATTTATTTTACTGACGTTAGATTTGTTTCCAGCAATGTATTAGTGACTGTTGGAAATCCTGTTGCTGCTCTACAAACAATATCTAGTTACAATAATATATTGAATTATTTTTGAAAATAATATATTTTTGAAAAGGCATTTTTTATGCAATGAAAAAGAATAAGAGTATCGATAAAGAACTGAACGAAAAAGGAGTATCAATAAGAGCATATCAATAAAATTCTAATGATACCATCCCAGCTCGTGAGAAAATGTCTGGCTCATCTTTGAAATCTGGCCCAATTGAGTTTGCAATTGAATAGCCCTGCTGTAATGTTAGTGTGAGCATGGCTTTGTAGGCTGTGTGTAAGTTTTATCATTGTCATCTTTCTGTTTTTGTTCTCAATAGCTTCTTGTATTAACTGACAAATTTTGGCTTTTATTTGAGTGTCTGTGTTCTCTCAGTGTTGAGAAGGTTTTGGATATAAAGATGATTTGCACCAGAAAAGGGCACTAATATGTAAAGATGAAACAGACTTCAGATGGACAAACTGGTAGTTGGTAGAATGTAAACTAATGTGATACAGATGACTCTGTGATGTGCAGTAAAAGAAACAAACTCCTACTCAGAAAGAGCAGAAGGATATCCCAACCGCAGTCAGAGGCTGGTCAGTATTCATTTTACCAAGGTATCATTTTGTGTGTGTGTGTGTGTGTGTGTGTGTGTGTGTGTGTGTGTGTAGATCTGCAGATGGTGAACATAGCAGTGCGGGTGTTGTCCAGGCCCCTAGCTTCAAACCTGCCGGTCATGTACCAACACTTGGGGAAGGACTACGATGAGAGAGTCCTGCCCTCCATCGTCAACGAGGTCCTCAAGTCTGTGGTGGCAAAGTTTAACGCCTCGCAGCTCATCACACAGAGAGCACAGGTACTGTCGTCACTACTGTCTAACATCTCTGTACACTCTGCTGGAATGTATGCCTGTGATATTTGTTTTATCCCAGTCTGTATTTATATATACATTTTCACTTGAACAGGTCTAGCAATAATCAAATGTTACTAATATTTTTTTAACACTTTTTAGACTATTTACTGTGTCAGGTGTCCAAAGACCTCAGAATATAATGCAATCCAATATAGAAAACTATACACCACTGCCTCAAAACTTTCCAGTCCATATCTGTGTGATATTGTCACGTGTTGAATATTGTTGGTCTGTTTGATTGTCTAGGTGTCATTGCTGGTGCGCAGGGAGCTGTTTGAGAGAGCAAAAGACTTCAACATTATTCTTGATGATGTGTCCATCACTGAGCTGAGCTTCAGCAGCCAGTACACTGCTGCTGTGGAGGCCAAGCAAGTTGGTAAGGCTCCACCCTCGGGCAGCAGAATGGCTTACTCTGAGTAACAGCACCATTAATCTCACACAGATTAACAGCTCAATAAAAATAAATGTTGAGATTCAATTTAAACATTTCAGAAATGTTAACAGTATTTAAAGGAAAGCTGTTGATTATCACAGTAGACTCAAATTGAAAAGGGCAATTGTTTAACTCCCAAATCAGCTTTACATTGGCAGGATCTTCAGTACTGAGACACAACTTGTTGCTTCAGTCTGATTGAGCCAACAGATAATCACATGGGTTTGTTTTGACTGACAAAGACATTGTGATGAAAAGTACTATGAAATAATGAAAAAAAAACCTGTTATTGGTGAATGTTAGTGCTGTGCAAAATGGCTTATAAATAATATCTCCATATTTTTCAGCCATTCCATGATATACACTATATTATAACAGTTTTGGGTCACCTGTCTTCACATGCACATGAAGGTTAATGACATCCCATTCTTAATCTGTAGGGTTTAATATGGAGTCCATACTCTTTGCAGCTCCAACTCTTCTGGGAAGGCTGTCCACAAGGTTTAGAATTTGGGTTCTTGGGAATTTTTGACCATTCTTCTAGAAGTCTTTAAAGGTTCTGAGTCATCCAGGTCATAGTTATCCAAAGAAAGTTAAAGTCAAGGGCAACTGGACTTTGGTTGAAGATACAAAAAGATTTTTCATCCCTCATCTGAGAGAATTCTTCAGGTCTGACTGACTAGTAGGGAAACTCAACTATTTAACCTCTGTGGGGTCGTTTGCCAGGATACCGCTGGTTCGTTAGTGTTCCTGGTTGCTGTAACGACAGTCGTTACAGTCGTTAGGACTACCCGAGGCCAAGACTGAACGACCATCGTTGGTATCTTCACCTGAGGCCAAGAGGTTACGTTTGTTGAGTTTCCTGGGAAGTGATGAAAGGACAGCATTGTAAGTGGGGGATAAGTGGTGGCGTAGACCCCCTCCCCTGTTCAATGACGGCTTCTCAACCCTGGTGTAGATGCTTCCTTGACACCTCTTTCAAACCATCCATCTTCTCTGTCTAAAATGTGCACCTGGTGGTCCTCAAACGAGTGTCCTCTGTCCTTCAGATGTAAGTAGACTGCAGAGTCTTGACCTGAGGAGTTGGCCCTTCTGTGTTGAGCCATGCGTTTGTGTAGTGGTTGTTTAGTCTCCCCAATATACAGGTCTGTGCATTCCTCACTGCATTGGACCGCATACACTAGATTGCTTTTCTTGTGTTTGGGTGTGCGGTCTTTGGGGTGGACCAGCATCTGTCTTAGTGTGTTCTTGGGTTTAAAAAACACAGGGATGTTTGTTGAAAATCCTCCTGAGTTTCTCTGATACTCCAGACACGTATGGAATCACAATGTTGTTGCGTTTGACCTTCTTTTCCTCCTCCCCTGTAGTTTTGTTCTTCTTGGATCTTGTGGCTGTTTTCACAAAGGTCCATTTAGGGTATCCACAGGCTGTAAGTGCCCCCTTCAGGTGGTTCTGTTCCTTCTCTCTGGCTTGGGCGCTTGTTGGTATGTTTTCCGCTCTGTGGTGCAGTGTTCTCATGACCCCTAGCTTGTGCTCCAGTGGGTGGTGGGAATCGAAGAGTAGGTATTGGTCTGTGTGTGTGGGTTTTCTGTGTCCTCTTCAGTGTGTACAGCACAGTGCAGGAAGGCCAAACTGTTGTTGTGAACATCTTCTCGTGTGAACTTGATGTTACTGTCCACACAGTTGCAGTTCTGTGAAGGCTTGCACTTCCTGGCTTTTGATTTCGACCCAGGTGTTGTCCACATACCTGTGAGTTGAGGGCTTTGTTCTCCACTTCTTCCATGTAGATGTTTGCCACAAGAGGGGAAACCGGTGAGCCCATGGCACAGCCATGCTTTTGTCTGTAGAATCCTCCGTTGTACTGGAAATAGGTGGTGTTTAGACAGAGGTCGAGTAATTTACAGATGTGGGCTGAGGCTAGTTCTGTTGTCCAGGATGTTGTCTTGTGTTAGCCGTTTGCGGTTTCTACTGCTTCTATGGTGGGGATGCCGGTGGACAAAGAGGTCACACCATGGTTTCATCTGGGTCCAGTTTCAGTCCTCGAGTTTTGTTTATAAAGTCAGTGGAGTTTTGGATGTGGTGAGGCGTTCCACAAAATTGGGAGCATGAAATTGTCACAAAATCTCTTGGTATGCTGAAGCATTAACAGTTCCTTTCACTAGAACTAAGGGGCCAAGCCCAACCCCTGAAAAACACCCCCACGCCATAAAATTTACACTTGGCACGATGCAGTCAGGCAAGTACCGTTCTCCTGGAAACCACCAAACCCATTCGTCCATCGGATTGCCAGACAGATAAGCGTGATTCGTCACTCCAGAGACCACGTCTCCACTGCTCTAGTGTCCAGTGGTGGCGTGCTTTACACCACTGCATCTGACGCATTGTATTGCAATTGGTGATGTAAGGCTTGGATGCTAATGCGAAGGCCACATGACGTTTAGAGGTCTGTAGCTATTAATTCAGAAAGTTGGCAACTTCTGCACACTGTGTACCTCAGCGTGTGCTGACCCCGTTCTATGATTTTTATGTGGCCTACCACTTCATGGCTGAGTTTCTGTTGTTCCCAATTGCTTCCACTTTGTTATAATACCACTAACAATTGATTGTGGAATATTTAGTAGTGAGGAAATTTCATGAATGGACTTGCACAGGTGGCAACCTGTCACGGTACCCCGCTTGAATTCACTGAGCTCCTGAGAGTGACCCATTCTTTCACAAATGTTTGTAGAAGCAGTCTGCATGCCGAGGTGCTTGATTTTATACACCTGTGGCCATGGAAGTGATTGGAACACCTGAATTCAGTGATTTGGAGGGGTGTCCTAAAACTTTTGTCAATATAGAGTACAATACACATTTTGTCTACAGTAACATATACTGTACATTAAAATAGTTTAAACATGCCGATTATGTAGAATTTGATGCATTGCTACAGATTAAACTACCCAACTGGATATAAAAACGTTAAAATGAGCTCAACCTAAAACATCCTCCATTAGAAATAATGTTAAAACGACCATACTTATCAGCTGATTTATTCCCTCTGTTAAACACTTTCATATGGTATGATCGCTAGTTTCATGTCTTCTTTAATACAGCATGATGTTCATTTAGTAAATTAGGGTCCCATTTAGAGGAAAATAGACCAGAAAGCAGAGTATGCTTCAGGGCAGGACTGTCTGTGATAGACAAGTCGTTACCATGGTGACCTGTCGCCATTGAAAAAGCTTATTAAGAGTTGGCTTTTTATTTTCTCTAGTGATTACGTGTTGTTTTAAGCCTGTTTTTCGCTAGACAAAATTAGCATCCCGGTTAAAATGAACGTAAATTACAGGGAGTTACAAAGCTCAATTTCATTATATAGTCTGTTATATTGTGACAATAAACCTACCTACCTTAAAAAAAAAAACAAATATGTGCAAACCAGAAAAATACTAACATAACCCCCCTCCTTGACCCAAAGCTAATCATTCAAAACATAGTCGGACTCGCCGAGCACCAATAGAAACGCCAGTGAGCCGGTCGTTCTGATACATAAACGGTAGCTCTAGAACATAGGTTGGAAGATAAGGACCGTTTTGGTTTGTATAGATAGCCATTTAACGTTAGCAGCCTCGATGGGTTGGGACATTAAAAAAAGTTTGACATGCTATAGCAAATTTTCAAATGTTGAACCTCTATGGTTATTGAGAAGTTAAGTACATAACTGTAGTAAGTAAGTAATTGTAACTGGTGGCCACGTCACAAGTGCCTCGCGGCCGCGACAGTCCCTTGCGCGTGTCACGACGCAAGGGACCGCCCAGCGCTGCTTGCAGCTTTAATTATGTTTTACTTTTGAAGGTTTTTGAAGTTTTGAGATTTGTACTAAGAAGAACTTTATCACTAATAATGCATGTTTGTGTGTGTTTTAGCCCAGCAAGAGGCACAGAGAGCCCAGTTCTATGTGGAAAAAGCCAAACAGGATCAGAGACATAAGATCATCCAGGCTGAGGGAGAGGCTGAAGCTGCCAAAATGGTGACTAACATGTTAAGTGTCTGTCTGGTTAGATATAAAGTTGAATCAGTGAAAAAACACCAGAGACTGTTATTGACTGTAAGGACTAAATATCTAAGAAGACTGAAAAGTAATTAGTGTCATTGTCTGCATGTCATTACATTCTGGTCATGTTGTATAGATGGTAATCTATGAACTAAACTAAAACTGTGTCTGTGTCAGCTGGGCCTAGCAGTTACTAAGAACCCAGGTTACCTGAAGCTGAGGCGAATCAGAGCAGCACAGAACATTGCAAAGACGGTCAGTAGTATTGTTTATCTCCTTTCTCTATCTCCGTTCCACTTTGATTTTAATGTGTGGGAGTATCGCAGGATCCCTGAATGAGCAACTAAAAAGTCATTTGTCAGTGATGGTTGACGTGATGAAGTGTCTTCTTCCAGGTGGCATCATCTCAGAACAAGGTGTACCTCAATGCTGACAGTTTGGTCCTGAACCTGCAAGACCAGGCTTTTTTTAGGTAGGCTGCATAAAGTTCATTCTTGACTTTGGAAACAATAGATTGACAAAATAACTTGACTCATAGCCCACTTATCATCATTTCATAGGCATGCATCCAGTTCCAGTAAGAAGAATAAACCTGATAACCTTGTGTAGCAGTGTTACAGTGCTGGTTAATGATGTGTGCTGTTGTTTTTCAGCATGTCACTGGGTCAAAAGAAGTGATGAAGAGGACATGAAGGGAGGCAGTAAGACTGTCCCTGTCATCAACTCTATCTGAACAGTCTTGGCTTGTGACATAGGGAATCAACATACATGACAAGTGTGAATGTGGACAACAAGCCCTTTTATTTTATAAAACTTCTCTTCCAGGGTGGGGTGGAGGATAAAATCAACAAACCATAAGGATTGCTTTTCAGTAGAATTTACAATCTTTTGTGATTTAATATAACAGTAATTCACAATAATTAATATCAGTGTCTTCTGTCAGGAGGACCTGACAGGTTTTATGTCCCACCAGTGTTGGCAGTCAGTTAATAATTAAGTCCACTTTCTCATGTTATTACTATATTTGGCAGTGTGACTGTATTGAATTGAACTTAAAACAGCCAAATTATTACATTAACTAAAATATATTTGGAATTACAAAAATAGTTCACTTTCAGCTAATTTTCTAGAATTTCCATATATGATAATAAAGTCTGATAATAAAGTCTATAAAGTGATAATAAAGGCTGTGTGTATCATTTCCTTCATGGTAACACAAGATGTAATGTCCTCTGTGTTTATAGAAATCGTGTCCATATTTATTCAGAATAATGTAATTATTCTCATGAACTGCAGTCCATGCCAAGAGAGTTTGGAATCACTTAACCAATCACATGTGCAGACACATTAAGAGAATAAATAAGTGAACAAACCTAATGAACCAAGATGTTTCCATACAGAAAACAAGGACTGAATAGTTCACTTCACTGAATAGTTAGATGAGAATAAAAATGATTCAATAATATGCCATGGTCTGTGGAAGATTCCGTTGGACAGTGCTCTTCACCATTTATGTGGTGGCTGAATGTTTTCATCCATTCAGTAGTTCCAAGAGAAGCTATTGTTTTTTCCAACCCAGATATTTTCCAATATTCTTCAAATGACCAACATGTCCACTTGGTGTCATTGTAAGGTTCTGTTCTGCTCACATTTTGGTTGAAATTACAAAGCTGTAGCAGTATGGGTGATTTAATGTAGTTGCGGATTCTGTGTCCATCAAACATGTTTGGTGCTCAAACACAGTTAGACACTTTCACAAATGTTGGACGTTTTATGTTAAGATGAAAACCATATTATCACTATCTTGCTACTACTGTTAACTTTCTCCCAGAGACGGAAATTAAAAAAATGCACTTCAGAATTATTTCATGGTGTATGAATGTATGTATATAAGTAACTTTAGTCCTTTATTTATATTATAAATATTATTTGTTAGGTTCTGTCTGTAGCATGGAGGGACTACAAACTTTCACTGTACAACCTTGTGTTGTATAATAATAAATACCTTGATCCAATATACACCGATCAGCCATGACATTATGACCACCTGCCTAGTAGGTCTCCCTTTTAGTGTAGGTCCCTCTCCAACCCCTCGAGGAATGGACTCCAGTAGACCTCTGAAGGTGTATCTGGCACCAAGAAATTAGCAGCAGATCCTTTAAGTTGTGAGGTGGTGCCTCCATGGATCGGACTTGTACAAGGTAGATTTATTTTGTCACATTACAACAGGTTGTAAAGTGAAGTTGAGTTTGTAATTCCCTTCTGCTATGTAGACCTGTAATTCCTTATTATCAGGCTGCTCGAAAAAGTCCATTAAGACTCTTCAGCTGATCCAGAATGCTGCAGCACGTGTTCTGACAGGAACCAGGAAAAGAGATCACATTTCTCCTGTTTTAGCTTCTTTGCATTGGCTTCCAGTAAAATCCAGAATAGAATTTAAAATCATTCTTCTTACCTACAAAGCTCTTAATGGTCAGGCACCATCTTATCTTAAAGAGCTCATAGTACCTTACTACCCCACCAGAGCACTGCGCTCCCAGAATGCAGGGTTACTTGTGGTTCCTAGAGTCTCCAAAAGTAGACTAGGAGCCAGAGCGTTCAGCTATCAAGCTCCTCTCCTGTGGAACCAGGTTCCAGTTTGGGTTCAGGAGGCAGACACCATCTCCACATTTAAGAGTAGGCTTAAGACTTTCCTCTTTGATAAAGCTTATAGTTAGGGCTGGCTCAGGTAGTCCTGAACCATCCCTTAGTTATGCTGCTATAGGCCTAGACTGCCGGGGGATTTCCCATGATGCACTGAGCTCCTCTCTCCTCTACTTTCTCTCCCTCTGTATGCAACCTTATCCCATTATTGCATGTTACTAACACAACTTCTCCCCTTTCTGGTAGTCTTGTGCTTTCTCGTCCCTCTCCTCTCTCCTCCTATCACTTCCTGCAGGTTTTCTGGCTCTGGAGCTGTGGAGTCTGGATCTGTGGCTGCGGGTCACCTGCTGCCCCCGTGTTCCTGCTCGACACCCTCTACTGCAACGACTATTGTTGCTAGTCTTATTGTTATTATAATCATTAACATTACGATGGTTACCATTAACACTATTATAAATATCTGTACCATTTTTCATTTAGTTTATAGCAACATTACCTTCGCTGTCTGTACCTCTGTGTGTATATTGTGTAGGCTGCCTCCCTCCCCTCTCTCTCTCCTTACATCCCTCTCTCTCTCTCTCTCTCTCTCTCTTTCACTCTCTTCTCTCTCTTTCTCTCTCTCTCTCTCTCTCACCCCAACCGGTCGAGGCAGATGGCCGCCCACCCTGAGTCATGGTTCTGCTCGAGGTTTCTGCCTCTTAAAAGGAAGTTTTTCCTTGCCTCTGTCGCCTAGTGCTTGCTCTTGGTGGGAACTGTTGGGCTTCTGTAAATATCATCACAGAGTACGGTCTAGACCTGCTCTTTTATGAAAAGCGCTGTGAGATAACTGTTGTTGTGATTTGGCGCTATATAAATAAAATTGAAATTGAAATTGAAATTAAACCCTGAGTTTGATTAATAACTCCAAGTTAACTCTGAGTAGATTGAACTCTCTTCGTATTACAGGCCACAGGTCACCTTCTTCCATTGCTCCGAGGTCGACTGCTGATGCTCACGTGCCCATTGTTGGCACTTTCGGCAGTTGGCAGGGGTCAGCATGGGCACCTCGACTGGTCTGAGGCTTCTCAGCACCATACGCAACTGTTGGATCGGACCACATGGGCCAGCCTTCCCTACCCATTACAACCAGGACCCCATCCCTGGTTCACCGCTTACCCTCCTTTGACCACTGTGGACCAGGACCACCCCACAAGAGCTGTAGTTTTGGAGATGCTCTGACTAACAAATCAACTTTGAGGACACAATGCCTCCTGCCTAAAATATCCCACACCACAGGTGTCATGGTAATGAGATCAGCAGTGTTTTTCGCTTCACCTGTCAAGTAAATAATAAATATGTCAATATAGAAAGAAAGAGGATCTGTTGGCACATGAACTATGATGTGGAATAGTGTCAATCCTTCAGTCTAATTCAAACATGGACATATGATGAGTAGTGCAAAGAGGCCACCAATCCCACCAAACATGAGGGACAAAGACTACTAAGTATGAAGAAAATGTTAAATTGTATGCATAAACGGAGCTTTTTTTTAGAGTAAACACAAAACGGTGTGAGAAGCAGAGCTTGTTAAAAGTACTTACTTACAGAACTTGGATCATAAACTGTTGCTACTACACATTTATAAAATTCACACCATGTCCTAAAGTTATATAACAACTTTATTGAGTGAAGTGTCATTGGTTCTTTTCTGTCACACGTCGGCATGAGTTTGACTCCGATTGTCCAGGAATATTTATCACATTCTACACATCCATCTAACACAAACCACATCACTGGAGCAACATTGAAATTCAAGAGGGAAACTTTGGCTACTGGTTTCCTTCTGACTGCAGACTTGTGTACAATAAAGATAAAGAACAATCAGGTGGCTGTTGATGCATTTAAATGTCAATACTGAGAAAGAAACAAGGAATTGCAAGGCCAGAAGATGTGTTGATCATGACCCCGGAGGTCAGGATCATGTAGGAATGCGGCTGCGGAGGTACTCCATCACTGCATCCGTTCCTTTGGCCACGATGGCTGCTCTGGGAGTGCGAAAAAGATTCCCCTCCAGACTGAGACACCTGAGGGACAACACAGGCTTCAATTTATCCAGTGTGAGGGCTTTTCACATTTTGATTTCACAATTATTGACTTTTTAAATCCAGTTTTTAAAATAAACAGATAAATTACTCGATCTTTTTGAAAAATAAAAACCAAATAAATCAAACCCTGACCACAACTATGAATTTTACATTAACAAGACAGATTATGCTTTCAGTAGGGCCTTGCAGCACTTAACAGCTGAATGACTTCATTCTACCGTTTTGTGGGTTTTACCAACTTAAGAACAAGTAAATGATGAAAAGTGGATAAACACTGGGGTCAGTTACATCACATGATCATACTATGACTCCTAGAATGCAGCACACATCGCAGGAAAAATACTGAGCTGCTCCAGGCTCATTTTCCTCTATGACATTAACTCTGGAGACAGTAGCTGGTGGTGTGCTGCAGAGAAGAAGTTCAGACACAAACACATGTTGGAGGACAGGACAGCGTGAAGACTTTGTTTCTTTGCTCAGGTGTGCTCCATACCTGAGGCTGGTACACAGGCCCAGTTCAGGGGGAATGTTCAGCAGGTCATTGTTTGACAGGTCCAGTGTTGACAGATGAACCAACTTTTTCAGACGACAAGGGTCCACCACACCCACCAGGTTGTTACCAAGCAACACCGACTCCAAGGAAACTATCTGATAGAGTACTTCAGGGAAGGACTTGAACCTGTGATCAGTACAAAGACTTTGAGTGTAAAAAAAACACTTTTACTGTTTTATTTAATGAACTGTATTAAATGAATTGTTCTTTTGTAATTTATTTGCAGCTTTGGCAATATTGTTGTTTGACATTCATGCCAATAAAGCTGAACTGAATAGTAATAGTGACAGTGTAGCTGACTGATTCACTATAGTTGCTTTCCATTCAGCTAGCTAGCGTGCTAGCCACTGGTTGTCGAGGTGGTGTCCAGCAAACGATGTGGGCTTTGTTGATCATTGGCAGACTTTCTGGGGAAGACCTGGTCTGATCCGGAGAGACGGCATCCATCCCACTTGGGAAGGAGCAGCTCTCATTTCTAGAAATCTGGCCAAGTTTATTAGTGGTCAAATCCATGACAACCCAGAGTTGAGACCAGGAGGCAGAGTCGCAGTTTAACACACTTCTCTGCCCTTCTTTTTCAGCAGTTACCCACCCAAAACCCTACGCAGAGTCTAACACACTTCTCTGCTCCTCCATTTCAGGAGTTACTTAGTGAAAATCCTATAGTGACGGTGTCTGCCCCCCGACCATCGAAATTATTTAAAAAGGTAAACAGAAGAGGAGCTGTGCATAAAAACCTCATAAAAATTAAAACCACAAGAGCAATAGTGCAAACTAATAGGAGAGTTAAATGTGGACTCTTAAACATCAGATCTCTCTCTTCTAAAGGTGTACTAGTAAATGAACTTATATCAGATTATGATATTGATTTATTTTGTCTTACTGAAACCTGGCTGGGTGATGGAGAATATGTTAGCCTAAATGAATCCACCCCTCCCAGTCATATTAATACTCACATTCCTCGAGGCACAGGCCGAGGAGGTGGAGTTGCAGCTATCTTCGACTCTAGCCTACTAATCAGCTCTAAACCTAAATCAAACTATAACTCATTTGAAAGTCTTGTTCTTAGTCTTTCGCACCCAAGTTGGAAATCACTGCAACCAATTCTCATCGTTATAGTGTACCGAGCACCTGGCCCGTATTCTGAATTCTTATCTGAATTTGCAGAGTTTTTGTCAACTGTCCTTAAAACGGACAAAGTTATTATTGTAGGGGATTTTAATATTCATGTGGATGTTGAGAATGACAGCTTTAGTACTGCGTTTATCTCTCTGTTAGATTCCATCGGCTTCTCTCAGAGTGTCATGAACCGACTCACTGTTTTAACCACACCCTCGACCTTGTTTTGGTGTATGGTATTGAAATTGAACATTTAGTGGTGTTCCCACAGAATCCCTCTTTATCCGACCACTGTTTGATAACTTTTGAGTTTGTATTGCTGAACTACTCGCCATTGGGCAAAAATTTCTATACAAGATGTCTGTCTGATAGTGCTGTAGCTAAATTTAAGGATGCGATTCCATCAGCTCTAAATACATTATCTAGTCACAAAGTAATGGAGGACTCCTATGCTAATTTCAGTCCCTCCCAAATCGATCATCTTGTTGATAGTGCTGCAGGCTCGCTGCGAATGACACTCAACTCTGTAGCCCCTCTAAAAAAGAAAATACTAAAACAAAGACGGTTAGCTCCATGGTATAATACTGAAACTCGCAAATTAAAGCAAATATCGCGGAAACTTGAGAGGAATTGGCGTTCCACCAAAGTGGAAAATTCTCGTTTAATTTGGCAAGATAGTCTTAAAACTTATAGGAAGGCCCTCCGTAATGCCAGAGCAGCGTACTACTCGTCATTAATAGAGGAAAATAGGAACAACCCCAGGTTTCTTTTCAGCACTGTAGCCAGGCTGACAGAGAGTCACAGCTCTATTGAGCCAAGTATTCCCATAGCTCTCAGTAGTTACGATTTCATGAGCTTCTTTAATGATAAAATTCTAGCTATTAGAGACAAAATTCACCAAGACCTGCCCTCAATTGGCACCGACTTATCTCTTAACTCAGGAACCTTAGAAACAGCTGTAGAACCAGATACATGTTTAGACTGTTTTGCTTCCCTCAATCTTTACCAACTAACTTCAATAATTTCTTCATCTAAACCATCAACCTGCCTCTTAGACCCCATCCCGACTAGGCTGCTTAAAGATGTTTTACCCTTAGTCAGCACCTATCTATACCTATCTATACTAGATATGATCAATCTATCTCTATCAACAGGCTATGTACCACAGTACTTTAAAGTAGCTGTAATTAAACCTCTTCTGAAAAAGCCCAAACTTGATCCGGATGTTTTAGCCAACTATAGACCTATATCTAACCTTCCATTTCTCTCTAAGGTTCTGGAGAAAGCAGTTGCTAAACAGCTGTGTGACTCTCTACTGAACAATAGTTTATTTGAGGATTTTCAGTCAGGATTTAGAGCTCATCATAGCACAGAGGCAGCACTGTTGAAAATTACTAACGACCTCCTTATTGCATCAGACAAAGGACTTGTCTCTGTAGTGGTTTTATTAGATCTAAGTGCTGCATTTGATACCATTGACCATCAGATCCTATTGCAGAGACTGGAATATTTCATTGGCATTAAAGGAACCGCTCTAAGCTGGTTTAAGTCCTATTTATCAGATCGATTTCAGTTTGTACATGTTAACGATGAGTCCTCCATGCACGCCAAAGTTACTCATGGAGTTCCTCAAGGATCTGTCCTTGGACCAATCCTCTTCACTTTATATATGCTTCCTTTAGGCAATATTATCAGGAAACATTCCATAAGCTTTCATTGTTATGCAGATGATACTCAGTTATATCTATCGATCAAGCCAGATGAAACTCATCAGTTAGCTAAACTTCAAATGTGCCTTCAGGATGTTAAAACCTGGAAGACCTGTAATTTTCTCATGTTAAACTCAGATAAAACTGAAGTTATTGCTCTGGGGCCTAAGCACCTCCGTGACGCATTATCTAAAGATATAGTTTCCCTGGATGGCATCGCCCTGGCCTCCAGCACCACTGTGAGGAATCTTGGAGTTATCTTTGATCAGGACATGTCGTTTAAGTCTCACATTAAGCAAATTTCAAGGACCGCCTTTTTTCACCTACGTAATATTGCGAAAATCAGGAACATCCTGTCTAAAAATGATGCAGAAAAACTAGTCCATGCATTTGTTACTTCTAGGCTGGATTACTGCAATTCCTTATTATCAGGCTGCTCGAAAAAGTCCATTAAGACTCTTCAGCTGATCCAGAATGCTGCAGCACGTGTTCTGACAGGAACCAGGAAAAGAGATCACATTTCTCCTGTTTTAGCTTCTTTGCATTGGCTTCCAGTAAAATCCAGAATAGAATTTAAAATCATTCTTCTTACCTACAAAGCTCTTAATGGTCAGGCACCATCTTATCTTAAAGAGCTCATAGTACCTTACTACCCCACCAGAGCACTGTGCTCCCAGAATGCAGGGTTACTTGTGGTTCCTAGAGTCTAGAGTAGACTAGGAGCGTTCAGCTATCAAGCTCCTGTCCTGTGGAACCAGGTTCCAGTTTGGGTTCAGGAGGCAGACACCATCTCCACATTTAAGAGTAGGCTTAAGACTTTCCTCTTTGATAAAGCTTATAGTTAGGGCTGGCTCAGGTGAGTCCTGAACCATCCCTTAGTTATGCTGCTATAGGCCTAGACTGCCGGGGGATTTCCCATGATGCACTGAGCTCCTCTCTCCTCTACTTTCTCTCCCTCTGTATGCAACCTCATCCCATTATTGCATGTTACTAACACAACTTCTCCCCTTTCTGGTAGTCTTGTGCTTTCTCGTCTCTCTCCTCTCTCCTCCTATCACTTCCTGCAGGTTTTCTGGCTCTGGAGCTGTGGAGTCTGGATCTGTGGCTGCGGGTCACCTGCTGCCCCCGTGTTCCTGCTCGACACCCTCTGCTGCAACGACTATTGTTGCTAGTCTTATTGTTATTATTGTTATTATAATCATTAACATTACGATGGTTACGATTAACACTATTAAAAATATCTGTACCATTTCTCATTTAGTCTATAGCAACATCACCTTTACTGTGTGTACCTCTGTGTGTATATTGTGTATGATGTTGTGTTTGGCGCTATATAAATAAAATTGAATTGAATAGCTCTCTCTCTCTCTCATTATTTGACAAAAACAAAAGGCTGATGCTGTGGGGGACCTGAAACAGCCCACTGATGCAAACTTCAGTAGCCAACATGCTGAACATGAAACGGTGAGTTACCTGTTGTAGCTGAGGATAATGGAGCACAGTTTAGTTAAGTTCTTCATTTCAGATGGTAAATCACTCAGCTGGTTATTCCTGAAAAAGCAGGACATAAATATAACATAAACTCATTTACTGGTTCTATATCAAAATGCCATCCATATCCTGTTCCTAAGCCCTTTTCAGACATGCAATCTGTAATGTTGCCTGCTTCATCTATCTAATAAAGCAGCGATTCCCAAAGTGTTCCCAAACTGAAATTTATCATGGCAGCTCATATTGTGACTCAGCTTTATTTACTTAAATATTTGGCTGGATATTCAAACTGCAGTGCAAACAGCAGACATGAATAAAAGCTCAAAATGTTGGGAGGCTGATGAATATTGAGGTGTCAGCATGTGTTGGCGTCTGTAGCTACCTGCCGTAAAAACGCTATCAACGCTACTGATCACAACAAAGCTCTGGCGACTAACGTTATGCTAGCCGAGATAACTCTGCCCCATGAGGACTGCACACTCCTTAAAGCGAACAAAAAGATTGCTGACCTTATGGAAGACAACTGACGACTTTCAGAGGAACTCAAAGAGAAAGATTTCCTGCTGACTGGCTTTATGGATGTGGCTTCAGTACAAGCCAAACAAATTGTTTCTCTTAGCGCAACTGCTAACATCCAACCGCTATGCAGCCCTGTCTGAAGACACTCCGGTCCATCCGCACTAATAATTGGTGACTCCATAATCCAGAAACATCCGTTTCTTTAACGCTACCACTCACTGCTTCCCCGGTGCCACCACGGCTGACATTTAAAAAAAACTCCAGGAACTAATGCCATCGCTCCCGTCCTCCATCACAAGAGTGATAGTCCATGTGGGAACAAATGACACAGCTCTTCAGCAGTCTGAGCTGACAAAATCAGATTTTAACCGTCTTTTTAAAGCAGTGTGTTTTTATCTCTGGTCCCATTCCCACAGTTGGTCGCAGTGCTGGCCGCTTCAGTAGACTCTTGGCCTCCACAACTGGCTCCAGTCCGCCTGCAGGGCTCATCGTGTGTGTTATGTCAATAACTTTAATATTTTCTGGCAAAGAATGTCTCTTTTTAAGACAGACGGACTTCACCCAAACAAACGGGGCTCAGAAATGTTAGCTGCTCACATACAGCATGTGGTGCGGTCCACACATGACTTACGTGAATGACTAATCATTCATGCAGCACACCTGGACACACCACCGCTCACTGAACAGATCTCTGCCTCACTGCCACAAACAACTGTCTCCACCTGCTGGCATGTAAAGCCGTCTGCTCCCAGCGCTGTTCCAAAGACTTCTATTCCTGTCATCATCACGCATAGACCAGTAAACTGAAATCACATCCTACACAGCAATCATAGTAATCTTATAAGGATTAGAACAACTGCACCAACTCCAGCACCTAGAACAAACTCATTTAAAATGGCTCTCTTCAATGTGAGAGACAGTCAAGTAAGACTTTTATCTTAAATGATTTTATCTTGTCTGCAAATCTAGATTTTATGTTTTTAACTGAATCCTGGTTGCAAATGAATGACTATAGCCAGCTAGCTGAACTGTGTCCACCTCAATATGATTGTTTTAGTCAACCGAGGGTCAGTGGTCGTGGTGGTGGGCTAGTGAGCGTGTATAGGAAATATTTAAAATGTCATCAAGTACGCTGTGATAAATTTAACTCCTTTGAAGTTCTCACTCTTACACTTGGAGGGCTGCAACCTAGCATATTTGTTATAATTTATCGCCCCCCAAAACCGCCTGGAGGATTTTTATCAGAACTTCCTGAATTTTTATCTACTCTGGTTTTAAATTATGACAGAATTGTTCTTTGTGGCGATTTTAATATTCATGTTGATGACCCTACCAATGTTAATGCAACTGACTTTTTAAATATGGCCACTTCTTTTAACTTCAAACAACATGTCAAAGGGCAAACCCATAACTGAACTCACTACTACACATAAACACAATCCCAGGTTTCTGTTTAAGACTGTGGATCAGCTGGTAAACCCAACCCCTCCTTGTGCCTCAGCTGGAAGTAATGATGACTGTGAATTGTTTTTATCTTATTTTACCAATAAGGTGGTGTCAATCAAACCTGGTTTAGATCCCTCCCTCCCACAAAATTTTAGACCAATTTCAAAACTGCCTTTTATTGCAAAGATTCTAGAAAGAATTGTGTCCAAACAGCTGCTCACTGTACTGGAAACTAAATTATTTGAAAAGTTTCAGTCTGGTTTCAGGAAGTACCACAGCACTGAGACTGCCCTGCTTAAAGTCACCAATGACCTTTTAATGTCTGCTGATGAAGGCATGTGCTCAGTCCTGGTAATCCTGGACCTTAGCGCTGCTTTTGACACCATTGATCACAACATCATGTTAGACAGACAGAGGCACTGGGTGGGGATCTCTGTTACGGCCCTAGAATGGTTTTCATCCTACCTGTCAAATAGGAAGTTTTGCGTGTCTGTAAACAACTATGTCTCTTCGTTATGTCCAGTTAAATATGGTGTGCCTCAGGGGTCGGTCTTAGGACCCATTTTGTTTTCCTTGTATCTGCTTCCCCTTGGACATATTATCCATAAACATGGTATTTATTTTCAGTTCACTTACCGACTGCCTTTGTGAAGTTAAAAAATGGATGTCAAATCATTTCCTCCAGCTGAACTCAGACAAAACAGAAATCCTGGTCATCGGGTCCTAGCAGATGGCAAAACAAATACTGCCATCTGCTGGTTCCCTAGTAAATCACATTAAGCCTGTGGCAAAGAACCTTGGTGTTTGGTTTGATAGTAATTTAAATTTCGAGCAGCACACCACAAAGCTTGTTCAATCATGTTTTTATCAACTTAGAATTATAGCAAAAATTCGATCTATGTTAACTTCTAAGGACACCGAGACCATTTTACACGCCTTCATCTCATCACGCCTGGATTATTGCAACAGCCTTTTCACCTGTTTAACCCAAAAATCTATTGATGGACTCCAGACTGTCCAGAATTCAGCTGCCAGGCTTTTAACCAGAACAAAGAAATATGACCAAATTACTCCTATTTTAGCTTCATTACACTGGCTCCCAGTATGTTTTAGAATTGACTTTAAAATTCTATTGATCACTTTTAAAGCTCTTCATGGCCTCTCGCCTTGTTATATTTCTGACCTTTTAGTCTCATACACACCAGCACGTACCTTGAGATCCTCGGGCAGAGGTCTGTTGCCTGTTCTAGAGTCTCGACTGAAAACTAAAGGGGACAGAGCGTTTGCTGTCAGGGCCCTGAGGCTCTGGAACAGCCTGCCCGAGGAAATCAGGTCAGCTGAGTCAGTGAACTATTTTAAGTCCCTTCTTAAAACATACTTTTATAGGAGAGCCTTTCCCTATCTTATTTGACTTTATTTTATAGTCTTTTCAATGTTTTCGTGCTTTCATCTTGTATTGTTTTTGTAGTATTGTCTTTCGGGTATTATTTTCTTTACACTTGTTAAAGCACTTTGTAACTTGTTTTAGAAAAGTGCTCTACAAATAATGATTATTATTATTATATTATTTTGTTACCTTGGACTCTGAAAAAGTGGCATTGCTATTTTAGTTTTTTACTGTTTTCTGAAATTTTTAAGAAAATTTGATGAAGTGAGGAATTAACTGGCAAATGAATTCATAAAATAAACTTTAGTTGCAGCCTTACATGTTAATACAGTGTAAGCAGAACTTTGTACAGTGCCCCTAACACGGGCCAAAGGTGCCCTTGAGCAAGACCCTGAAACCCTAACTGCCCACTGCTCCTTATAAGGATGGGGGAGATCTTATCTGGTTATCTGTGTGTTGATCTGTGCCCGTGTGTGTACCTGAGGTCGATGTGTGTCAGCTGCAGGAACTTGCAGATGTCAGGAGAACAGCAGATCAGTCTGTTGAAACCCAGATTGATATCTGACACTGAGGATTGGAAGTCCACCAGTCTGCGCACACAGCACACTTAGGTTTAGCCTTTTGTAGTGATACAATGTTTGATCTTTGTCACATAGTGATGAATACAGCACCAACAGGTGCTGAGTGTGGGTGTGTTGTGTGTATACCTGGGAGGTATGGAGGTCAGCTGGTTCTTGCTGAAGTTAACAGTGGTAACACCTTGATCTACTGCAGCATCAAACACCTCATCTGGAATACTACCTGCCTGCATCTCGCTAAACACAAAACACACAAAGTTACCCTCTAGTTACTCTAACTTGTAGAGTAACTAACAATGTTTAGTCTCTTAAGCCTATCAGTCCTGATAATATTGTACTCAGCAAGGTAATTACGGAGTTCTGTAATCTAAATTACAGTGACAATAACAAAAAAGATCGATGATCACAAACACACAGGTTAGAAACAAACTAACAGTTCAGTATGGACAACGAAAGTGATATTTCCGCCGCAGTAAGTTAAGTTTGGCGGTATGGCTCTGTTCTGGGATCTTCTACGTGGCTCTGTGAAAAGCCACGAGGCGGGAAGAGCACCTCCATGTGCTTGCATGGAAAGCCCGAGGCAGAGGGCAGCAGTAAAGACCCCCCAGGATACAGAACAGAGCGGGCATTAATAACAGAATGACATGATTAATCAGATAAAGCCTGAAAGGTGGAGTTGGAGTGGTGGTGGGTTATAAGCTGTTTGCAAATGGGCAGGCAGGCTATTGCAGCTTAAATAAGGCGCCTAGTATAGAATTTGCCTGTGAATGCTAAGCGAGGAATCAGCTGAGCTGTCAGCTGATGTGGCTGGCTTAAGATGGCTGCCATCAGCTGATGTGCTGGGACTGTGAGCCGTGTTTGACTTCACTGATTTTATGCATTCTCCAAACCACTTTATTTGGAGGTCAAACTGGAAGTGAGAACACCTGAAATGTTGCTAATAATTCTTATGTTAACATAGCGATTACACAACAAGTACAAATACTATGATTATATAACGTCCAAGTACATAACTGACATCTTATCACCATGCTCTGACAAAGGTGTTGAAACACACCAGCATATTTGCCGGCCTACTGGTTGAAAATAAATGTATTTGAAGGATTAATACAAGGGGATTGTTTTTCTGTTTGTGAAGAAAGTGTCACCTTTTTGTTGAATTGTTTTTTTTTTTAGAAATGCAGACAAGTGTGTATCACTAACCTGTACATCAATAACTTGAGAGTTTTAATGTTGTGGACATTGACCCTGGTCTGGCTGGGTAAAGTCATAGCTGTATGTCCTTCATCTGGTCTCTCAGGCTCCTCTGTAAACCACACACACGGTTATTAATATTGACAGGTTAGCACTTAGCATTAACACATTACAGACTAACAACCACTGAACAATTTTGTTACAAGGATTTAATCAAGGAACAACCAACAAAAATTAAACTGCTGGAACTTTGAGCAGTGCCTGTGAGCAGTTGTGGTCGAGTGTTCGCGGACACCTGATGTTCATTCAGTCTCTTGTCCAGGCTCCTTGCTGTTTCACTGATCTAATGTTCCAAGGAATGTGATAAGAGTTCTGGATACTGTATTCTAAATGGTGCCCCATTTCCAAGAAAGCTGCTCACTAGATTCATACAGCAAAATGGGCTTTCAGGCTCCTACCTTTTTGGGCCATAGAGGATGCCCACTTGAGTCCTTCTCTGGCTGAACTGGTTGACACATGAATGGCACAAGCTTTCATCTTAATTTTTACTAGATACAGTGTATGAAATTATAATGATGGAAAGAGTGATTCTGAGTTGTTTGTGATGGTAAGCAAAATGTAATTAGCACTTTTTTCCATAATTCTCTCATGTGACCTGCAATTCTGATCGAAGCCATCCATCCATCGTCAACCACTTATCCTGCGTACAGGGTCGCGGGGGGCTGGAGCCAATCCCAGCTGACATTGGGCGAAAGGCGGGGTACACCCTAGACAGGTCGCCAGTCCATCGCAGGGCCACACATAGACAGACAACCACTCACACTCACATCCACACCTAAGGACAATTTAGGGTCACCAATTAACCTAGCCTGCATGTCTTTGGATGGTGGGAGGAAGCCGGAGTACCCGGAGAGAACCCACGCAGACACGGGGAGAACATGGAAACTCCACACAGAAATGCCAGGACAACTGGTTTGAACCCACAACCACTGCACCACTGCGCCGCCTGATCGAAGCCACTATGCCAAAATCCCTTTACACTGCAGTGCAGTAGCTGATCCCCACAGTTGTCGTCTGTTGTGTCTTACACAACTCCAGTCTTACTTCTGTATACTAGCAAGGTGCTGAATGGTTTGTGGTAAGTGCAGACTGTCTGTGACTCTGGTTAGTTGTTCTGACAGTTTGGCTGCATAAGAGTCCCACTGGGATGCCACAAGCAGTCTTTGTTGATTTAACAGTGTGTCCTGGTCAGAAGTCTCCTCATCCATTCCTTGTACATGTTGGCACTGACTGTGATGGCCACTCTAGAACCTTCACTTTTCTGCCGTAACCACTGGAGGGTCAACTTGGCCTTGTGCACTGGGTCATTTTAATGCTGGATAGGCCAAGAGCGTCCCATGCCAGCTTTCGTGCAGCTGAATGCAAATGGTCTGCCTGTATTTTGTGATAACATGCTGCATTCATCTTGCCATCAATTTTCACAAGATCCCCTGTGCCTTTATAGCTCACACACCCCCAAAACATCAGTGAGCCACCACCATGCTTCACAGAGAGGATGGTATTCTGTTCACCATAGACCTTGTTGACCCCTCTCCAAACAAAGCTCCATTTTGGTCTCGTCAGTCCAAATTACAGCACTGCACCGGTTTTTAATGGAACTATTTCAGCGCTTCAAGACAGTGGATAAAAAAGTTTGAAGTCAGCACCAGAACAGAACCGTACCTTTAATTCTTCCTCTTAAATATTTCAGAAGCTCATTGGTTCCCTTCTGTGATGAGGACAACAAAACAGGGGTGTAAACAGTTAGATTATTAATATAAATGTTGTAGTGAACCAGTATGTGAACAAAATTAGAAATTCCATATAATATTCCATAATATAGAACCATCTCTAAACATATCAACTCAACAGTTGGAATTTCTAGTTTCACATTTCTACTAAAATGCAGTGTACGACTGTATTTATGCAATTCATGACAAAAAGCAAAACATTTTAAAGCTGTTAAACAATAACTTTTCTTATAATTGACAGCTGTTTGAAGGAACATTTCCTTGAGGACCTGTCTTTACTGGCAAATGTGTTCCAACAGGGGCTGAAAAGTCTTTACATGGAGGTTACCGTGACACAGTCAACTGTCTAGTCTATAGCACTCATCTCTCCCAGGCACTGACCTGGACCAGATAAATTTCAGTTACCTGGAGCTCACTATACTACTTTCTTTAAGCCCAAGCGGATTTCCCCCCAGTTTTTCTATTACTTACACAATCTATTGTGCTTTATATTTGTACTTACTTTGTACTTGTAGATCAATTTGTTTTCAATTTACCATTAACATCTAGATAAGATTTAGAAACTTTTAAGTGAAGTAAAACAACTGTGTTTAGCAGTGTAATATAGCTAATTCTGTGATTTCAGATTTCAGTATTTGTACAGGCTGTACTACAACTGCATCGTTCTTTCTTCAGCCTGTTTTAGTGTGCATGCTCTGTGTTTGTGTCCTGAGTGTGTCACCTACAGTGAGCAGATCCCTTCTGATTCCTCGCAGAGGGTTTCCCTCCAACAGTAACACCTTCAGATCAGGCAGCAGGCTGAGCGATGCTGGAAGACTGACAGAGATCCATTACATGAAAATACCTGAAACTCAGGTGATTAAAGTGTACTGAGAGTATGTACTGGTTCATATTTTCTTTCTTCTCTATTTGCATTTGCTCCAAACATTTGATGTGGAAGAATCAACAGTGTTAACTATGAGGCTTACACCAACACAGTGCATGTGCATGTCCCAACACAGTGAAATAACTGAATGTGATCACATAACATAATAATAAAATATACAACATAAAAATATAAAAAATACAAAATAATAACCATAAAATACAAAGTGTACATAAATGTGTCCCAGTGGCTAATTCTAGACTCCACCTGGGGAAAGAATGAAAGTGTGAACTGGTGTAAAGATAGTGGCTATATTTGTTAGTGGACGGATGTTTCAGTCATGTGTTGAGTTTGGCTCATGGTACAAACAGTTCACTGCTATAGGAGGACATGGAGTCATGATGCAAGTAACCTACGTGGTAATGTCATTGTTGGTGAGGTCGAGTCTTGTGAGTGTGCTCAGAAAGGATATCTGTTCAGGGATGGTTTTGATTTTGTTGTCGCGGAGCTCTAGAAGAGACAAGGTTGTCAGGACGGCCAGCTGCTCTGTCTCCAACTGCTCAATCTGGTTGTTACCTACATACAGCTCCTACACACACACACACACACACACACACACACACACACACTTCCTGTGGCCATAATATATAAACAACATTTAAGGCAATGTAGATTAGACAATTTTAGACATTCCCTGACTTAAAATAGCGATGCAAATTTCTTGTCTGGCAATGTTAATGATCAATAATTTAGTTATCATGACAAGCTTGTAAAATACAAAATGCATACATATTTTCAAGTAAATTGGGGAATCAAATGAAATAACCAGAAGAAAATAATTTCAATCAACTCACTTTCTCAGTGTAATTAGACATTACCCATAATGCTCCTGCTCTGCCTGCTCTTATGCAACACATTGCCAAACTAACTTCTATACTTCTTAAACGTTAAGAATCTGTTTTGTTTGCTGCTGACACTACACCTTGGGCTTGGACTGTATCTATCTTTTCATACCTTTCTGACATTTCACTGGGGTATTTGTGTAAAAAAATAAAGACAAAAACAATATAAAAACTGAGCTTCTTGTGATAGAAGTCAGCACATATGGCTATGTCCAGGAAAAGTAAAGGGGTTTATCACTAGGCCTGTCACAATAATTTAATTATCGCCTTTATCATAAGATACACTGTATGGACGTGACCACAATCATTTTTGCTAACCTCGGTACTGCCCATTGTGTTTACCTGCGTGCTTGTTTACATGAGAATAAATGTTTCAGCCAGTCGCGCTAACCATGGTAGTACAAAAATTAAGGGCAAATTACCAAATCAGCAAAATCTGAGCAAGTCAGGAAAATCAGGCAGGCAAAACACTCTGCTTCTTAATTGCTCCCTGTGGGGTATGAAGCCGGTCACAGAGGTGCAGGTTGTTCTGGTTGTGTGGTTTTATTTATTTAGGATATTTGAATTTTTTTTACATTTAAATTGAAATGTTGTGATTATTCTTAAGGAAAAAAGTTGCTCTCTGAAACTGTGTACTTGCGTTACTAAGCATTATATTATCATTATATAAGTGGAAAAAAATAGTATAAAAATGACAATATTGTTTATCACAATAAATTCTGGGATTCGTCCAAATAGTTGCTATTGTAACTGGCCTAGTTATCGTATTTTAGGCAGTTTCACAAGGCAAGGTTGAGGGCATACACTACAAAACATCACCTCAATACATCTTCTCTGTATCAGCTAAACTGAAAGAGGTATTGAAAGTCACACTGTCTGGATTTCTAAATACCTTGGTATGCCATAATACCATGATACTGCCCAAGCCTACCTCAGACAACAGCACTCCTAAGCTGTTGTACCTGTTCAATTAAAAACAACACACAGAAAGCTCAATAAATCTGACTGTCATAAATGTAATGCTATCAGCAATGTTCACACCACAAATCATCTTTAGGCTTCATTCAGACCAAATCAGACACTGCAGGAAAAGAACACAGCGACAGAAAAGTTGATCCTCTCCCAGTTATGTCCTCGCTTGGTTTATTAAATGAACCCAGCTTCGATCTGTGTCGGAGTTGCAGTCTGCTGAAAAACTGAGATACCAAGAGTTATCCTTTGATTTGTTTGAGAGAGACAGACGGTGATGGTTGAGCGACCTAGAGAGTGAATGAGGAGAGAGAGCGCACTGAGAAAGCTGGTGAATCAGAGAATTAAAAGTTATTTTTGGATTATTTCAAAGTTGTTATGTTCTAAAGCACAAATATACACGCCCATAACGCCGCACAGTCCTGTGGCTAATCGCCACAGTGCCTGATTTGGTCTCAACAAAGACTTAGACACGGAGAAACTCTCATGTTGCTATGGTTACCTTAAGCACAGGTGCAGGGAGCTTTGGGAGGAGGCAGAGCTTGTTGTGTCTGAGGTAGAGCTGCTCCAGAGCAAGCATCTCTGATAGGCTGGCAGGAATTTCAGTCAGCTGGTTATTGCTGCAGTCCAGCAGCTTAACATCTAGAGAATCAAGTCCGAACTCAGTCCAACACATACTCTTACAGATACTCCTACTGCAGAAGTGTTTCAGGGACTTACTATGCTTGTTGAACAGCGTCTGAAACCCACTTCCCCCACGCCTTTCTAAAGTTAGAACTGTAACTTTATGCAGTCATTAGCCAGGTGTGTGGAGAGTTAAAATAGGTGGAGTTTGGACTTCTCTCTTGCACGCTTTTTAAAAAAATGTTCACACAACTACTACAGTCACTTCCTCTGTTGAGACGACGTGACTTGTTGGACAAAGATCAGGGAGGCAGTGAGATACAGCTAGGAGGAGGCCGCATTCCAGGGTGGCCATTTGCTGCATTACATGTGGTCATGTCGCTCTGCCGCTTGTTACATAGCAGCAGGGTCGGGGAAATCCAGTTACAGTTAGGGATGCACCCAAATGAAAAATTCTTGGCCGAAGCCGAATATAATGAAAAAATTTGCAGAATACCGAACAAGTACATTCACATGTTTTCCATTTCCATTTTTACCAATTTTTTTTTTTTTTTACCATTGCATAAATTAAACAGTCAAAATGTGCCTTTTACTCTGTTTCCAACAGGATTTGGAGAGACTATGGTGGGTGGGTCCGAGGCCCGAGAGGTAACGTAAATTCTCCATTTGTGTCCATTTATTTTTAATGGACACATGTGATGTGTTTTATACTTTCTGTGAATATAATCCAATGAATCTTATTTCCATCCTGTATAGACGCCTTATTTTAAAAACCGGATGTTGTCACATGTGTATCCTCGCGCTAAATTCATCAAGTCCGACCCAATTTGATAAATAATGATGTTTGTGGTTCTCGTATGGTGTAACATGAACTTCACAGCCTCTCTTCAGGTAGGACTCTCATACTGCAACACTTGTCTTTGTAAAGAGAGAAATTGACAGGATAAAGTCCCTAACCTGCCTGTCAGCTCGCACTCTTCCATTTCAGTGGATTTACCATAAAGGCTTGAATACGTGTGCACTCCAAATATATGTGCGGCTAGCTTAATCGCCTTCTCAGAAACGAGTGACAGAAACACTTAGTGGTTCAGACCCTTTGTTGCCTTTTCTAAGAAGTCAGCCACAGATGGGTGGATGTGCTAGGAGACAATTCAGCAGAACAGTGTCTGCAAACGGCCATTTTTGCATCTTTCTCGAACACTTTAAAAACCTTCCACACTGCCATGTCAACATAACTGTCCGGTAAAATTTAATCGATCTTCTGATTTATTAGGCAGAACACTGAAAGTGCTGTTTTTGCTATTTTCGGCCGATTAATTTTGGTGGCCGAACATTTGGTGCATCCCTAGTTACAGTAAATAGCTGTATTGAAATGGCATGTAAGGCACCCCCTTACCAGTTGGATTTTGGAGTGCACCCACTTAGAACAGGTAGAAGTGGTCAGATTACGCATGGTACCAAATTACAGCTGCAGCTAACGATGATTTTAGTACTCGAAGCTTCTACAGATTATTTCATCGATTCATTGATGCATCGTTTAAGTACTTTTGCTTGCCCGAGTTTGAGCCCTACATGACAAATCACAGCCCTCAGAAAAGAATGGAGCCAATCTGTCAATACAGGGCGCTCTGGCAAAACAACACATGATCATCTGGCAGAGAAGCTGAACCTGGCTAAACTATTATTGCATGGCAACATTATCCTGCAATGCACCACCTTGGCCAATTACATACATGCAAGCATGCATTCCTGATGGATTACTTTGTAACGTGAAAAATTAATGTTTTTACCATTTACCTTGTGATCATTATTAAGAAAGATAAGATTAGCATTTCACACATTCCACATAGAGCTCGCTATGTGTTTGTTGGTCACATGTTTTCCTGAATATTCACATACCCTAAATTGTCAAATAAACACAAAAAATAGAGGAGGATAAAAATATTCACCATATATATGGGCTGCTGCGGCTCAAGAGGTGGAAGCTGTGCCATCGCTGTGTGAGTGTTGCTTTCCGTTTCTGATGAGCAGTTGGCACCTTAGCCTCTGCATCAGTGTATCAATGTGTGTGAATAGATGAATGTGACGCAGTGTAAAAGTGCTTTGAGTGGCCGGAAGACTCAAAAGGCGCTATACAAGTACTAACCATTTATCATACACCATATAAATAGCAAATTCAGTTTATTGTCCACTTCCACAGCACTAATGCCACCAAATACATCAAAACAGAATTATGCCATACTCACCAATTGGTAGCTCTCGATTTCTCTTTTCAAGACAAATAATGTGCAGACTCACTAATTATTTCCAAGCACTTCTCCTTTCAATTTTTTTCCAATTACTGTTATTCTCACTAAATTACTGTCAATGAAACTCATGACTCTTGCAGAGTTTTCAACATAAAAGCCTACTAGGAAAGGGATTATGCCCTTTTAGTTGTTGAAAGGCTTTTAATGTGAAACATCGGTGCAGGAAGGGTTAAATTCCATTTCATTCATTCAATTCAAAAAACAAAATGTAGAAGCAACCTGGAAATAAAATGTAATTAAAACCAGTATTTCTTTTAAAAAGACGGAAAGATGGAATTAATGCTGTGAAAATTAATTAATAAGACATTATACTGATGTTATTAAGACAATAGTTTAACATGGGAGACGTTAACAGCAAATTACTTGAATGAGTGAGAACCTTCAGACAGTCAATGGTTGTATTAGAGAAGTGCCTTTATTTACTAGTATTTTATTTTTTAGCTCATGTCTGTGAAGTTTCCTGGGAAGTGATGAAAGGACAGTATTGTAAGTGTGGGATAAGGTGTGGTGTAGGTCCCCTTCTCTATTAAGCGAAGGCTTCTTAACCCAGAGTGTAAAGACACCAGGGTTGAAAAGCCCTCGCTGGTTGTTCAGACTTGGCTTTGGGTGTCTCTAACAATCATAACCACTGTCGTTACAACAGCCAGGAGCACTAATGACCCAGCGGTATCAATGATCTATGCAAAACACTGCACAGAGGTTAAATAGCTGAGTTTCCCTACTAGTCAGTCAGAACTTAAGTCTCTTGGATGAGGGACAAAACGTCTTCTAGGATCTTCAACCAAGTCCAGTTGCCCTATATTTTAATTTTCCTTTGATAACCATCGACTGTATGAAAGAAGTGGATGTAGACATTGTGACGTCTCCCATTGGTTTCTGGACTGCCATTTGGATGCCTCGTGTTTGGCCATTAGGCCGTCGCCATATTGATTCTTTGCAACCAGGAAGACGTGACAATATTCGGATGAGACGTCGGCGCTAGTTTGGTTCACCTTAACTGTGATTTTAACCGGGATGCTCATTTTGGCTAGCTAAAACCAGGCTTAAAACAAAACGTAACCACTGACTCCTAATTAGCTTTTTTAAATAGATTTCAATAGAATGCTGGTTCAAGTTACTTCCGGGTGGCCTCAATTTTAGACCTAGAGTCCTGCTTGAATATAACTGTTTCCAATAAGGCCTGGTTCTCTCAACCGCTAAGGTAAACGGTCACTATCTGATCATTTATGGTACATACAGTATGAAAAGGAGCCATGTAAAAAAACAAAAAAAAACAAGTATAGCTGGTCTTACTTGTGAGCTGGGTCACGGTGTCAGGCAGACAGCTGAGTTTGTTGTGACTTAGATTCAGTTTCTGTAGACAGGTGAGGCGGCCGAGGCTGGAGGGCAGGCCCATCAGGTGGTTGTTGGACAGATCCTTCAACAAATCACAACCAAAAGGACACCTCCGTCAGCCAATCACACAACACAGTAGACAGAGCCTGGTGGGAGTGTAATACACTACACATCCAGTATGTGTTAGTTACCAGCTCGGTCAGGTTCTCCAGTTGTCCCAGGACCTCTGGCAGGGTCTCCAGCAGGTTTTGATGGAGTGTGAGGCTATGGAGGTTCTTCAAAGTACACACTTCCACAGGAAGTGCTCTCAGCTGGTTATGACTGTCCGCACATGAAAACAAATACATGATTGTTTTCTTAAAATCCTAGACATATTTTTCATTCATTTCCCCCTTAGTTGTCAGTCCCATTCAGGGCTTAGTGCTGCTGACAGATGTGCAGAGCAGAATTCGAAATTAATTAAGTTTGGGCAATTTGGGGATTCATATGCTTCATTTCCACTGCATGGCACACCACAGCTTGTCTCGACTGTTTGGAACCGTTCCTTTCTTTTTCTGCTGGCAAAAGTTGTGGACAGTTCCTGGGAATGGGTACCAGGATTTTTTGATATCACCTAGGTTGAGGTTCAAAGCACTGTCACTTGCGCAAAACAGGACATCGCTACCATCAATAGCAACTAGGGCTGACCCCAAATAGTCGAAGATTTGATGCTTCATTAGAAGCAGCCTGATTTGATTGCCAATCTCACTGTTCAATCTTCGTAGCGGCGTTATGAAACAAGGATCATGCCATTTGGAGCATATTGGGTTGCATAAAACTTCCGGTTTTCTCCCAAGTAGTTAATATAAAGCATATTATGATATGAATATCAACATACTGTATAATGCTGTAAATAAACATGTGAAAAGAAAGAAACTTTCAATAAAACTTGTGCAACACTGAAGAAATGACACTTTGCTACAAAGTAGTGAGTGTACAGCTTGTATAACAGTGTAAATTTGCTACCCCCTCAAAATAACACATCACACAGCCATTAATACCTAAACTGCTGGCAAAGTGAGTACACCGCTAAGTGAAAATGTCCAAATTGGGCCCAATTAGCCATTTTCCCTCCCCGGTGTCATTTGACTTGTTGGTGTTACAAGGTTTCAGGTGTAAATGGGGAGCAGGTATGTTAAATTTGGTGTTATCGCTCTCACACTCCCTCATACTGGTCACTGGAAGTTCAACATGGCACTTCATGGCAAAGAACTCTCTGAGGATCTGAAAAAAGGATTCCAACATGATAACGACCCCAAACACACCTCCAACACGACCACTGCCTCGCTAAAGAAGCTGAGGGTAAAGGTGATGGACTGGCCAAGCATGTCTCCAGACCTAAACCCTCCTGAGCATCTGTGGGGCATCCTCAAACAGAAGGTAGAGGAGCGCATAGGTCTCATCAAATCCACCAGCTCTGTGATGTCATCATGGAGGAGTGGAAGAGGACTCCAGTGGCAACCTGTGAAGCTCTGGTGAACTCTATTCCCAAGAGGGTATATGAATAAAGATGGCCACACAAAATATTGACACTTTGGGCCGAATTTGGACATTTTCACTTTTGTGGATGTACTCACTTTTGTTGCCAGGTGTTTGATTTGTTATTTTGAGGGGACAGCAAATTTACACTGTTATACAAGCTGTACACTCACTACTTTACATTGTAGCAATGTGTCATTTCTTCAGTGTTGTCACATGAAAAGATATAATAAATTATTTGCAAAAAATGTGACTGGTGTATTCACTTTTGTGAGATAAATAAAGAAATGTAGGCTTTAATTAAATTATACAATGAGACATAAATGTATATATCTCTTTTAATTAGCTTCTTTGTTTATTCACCTAATTACTGTATTAATTTATTGTCCTTTATAATCTTTATTTATTAATTAGTTATTTTTAAAATGTATTTATTTATGAGTGTGTTGTAATATTTTTCTCTGTTTTATTCTTCCTTTACATTTTCTACCCTATTTATTTCCTAAATGGTAGTTTCCCCTTTTTCCATTTCTCTATTAATTTCTGCCCCATTATGCAAATGAGGGGGGCTTGTCTCAAGGGGTCAACTTCTCACCTATTGTGTTTTCAGTTAGCGACATACACGGACACAGAACTGCTGGAAAGTGAGCCGTTTTTCGTGAGAACCCCATGGTCAGGCTGCCGCAGCCAAATCCAGAGTGCACTCGTATTCAAGCCTTTACGGTAAATGCACCGAAACCGATCATCTTGTTGCTCTGCTACTATCAGCTGCTCTGCTGAAATTTCAACCTTGCTGTTGTGTCGGGAGCGACTTAACAAGTGGTGATTAAGAAAAAGCATAAATAAAATGTAATTTGTTAAGCTATGAGGAGAGGAAAAGTATGCTAGCCACTAGGCTAATTTATGCAGTGTAAAATGCTATAGTCTATAAGCTAATAATGGTGACTAGCAAAGAAACTAAACTTCACAGTTATTAAGACAAATTTTATGCTTTTGTTAAATGTGATCGTTATTAATCCATCAATTTATAGTTACTGCACTTAACCAGTTAAAATTATTTAATGTTTTTTTTCTTTTATGTCCTAAAGCACAGAAAGAAGATACTACTGTGCATACTGTGTTCACTTCCATCTTTGTCTGAGAAGAAGAAGAATTAAATTAATACCTTTTATATTCCCCCTTGCATGCCTTGTTGTTGTTGTGTAAATATAGCAGAAGAATGGGAAAACAGCACATATCCCATTGTTACTGTGTGATTATAGCACATGGGAGAATAGTGGGTTACAGATACTTTTAATACAGTCCACACCCCTAATATTACTGTGTAACTACAGGATACAGTGGAGAACACTGATTATTTATGTATAGTATATTCATATTGTGTAATGTGTATAAAGAATGAAAATAAATAGGCCTACTAGGCTCCTCTGTATCAGGGCTGGACTGGGACAAAAAAAAAAAAAAGTCAGCCCGGGCATTTTTGGCCCAGGTGGCCCACTAGAATCAGTCGACAAACACACACGTACCTACTGTTATATTTCCCTGTAACATGCTACATGTATTGAATAAAAGGCAAAAGTAACAGTCGCACATTTATCAAGGGAAACCATAATCATTTTATGATGATACATAGGGACCTTGGTTACCCACAGCAGCGTGGGCTTTGCCAACGCCAGGCTGACAAAATAACATCACCTAGTCAGCCATTAGGAGAGTTACCCGAAGCTGCAACTGCATTAGTAAACTATGCTAGCTACAAAACAATGTCAAAATAGCTTATGCTGCGCTATTGGACATTGAGTGACCACCAGCAGTAGCTGACAGTCTCACTTTATGATAGTGTTATGATTACAATATTATCATTGAACTTAACTGAAGTAATCATCATCATCTTCATTATGGCATGGCACACCTCCCCACCGGTCCCTGTTAAGCTACTCCATGCTTTCTGGTTCACCTACATTCACCTATCCTGCTCACTCTGTCCCTACTGCAGCCTTGGTAACAAACATATCGGTTGTTTGGTGCCATCCGTCACAAGATTTATTAATTTGGCCGGCAACTTCTTCACATCCTCTTTGTACTTCTGACACAAGAAACATATGAGAGAGGCGTAGGAAGTGGGAGCTAATCAGAGATGTGATTGGGCGAGCCCAGTGTCAGTATTTAAAATTAATTAATGGGCTGCTGTGCATGCTTTATGGGCCCATTTTTTAAACAATTATATAAATAAATACTTTTTAAATTATATCAGCCCCAAAGGTGCGTAGGCCTACTGGGCATTTGCCCGGTATGCCAGTATGCCAGTCTGCCCCTGCTCTGTACTTATTTAACATTTAAGATTAGCTGTGTTTGATCCACCTTCATACACATGTGACATTATTACATTACTGTATTACTTGACAAAGGTAAGTTGTTTTCTGCTCCAGCCTGCCCCTTTTAGCTGCTGCAGTGTAGGATGAATGAAGAATAGACCCGTTTCTCAACATGTTATTTTTCTAAATCATACAATGAAGTATAAGAAATGCACAATTTCATCATTGTTTGTCAAACGTTCAGCTCTGTTTACCAGCACTAACACTTACAAGTATAACAATACAGTACTGCATTTTGCAAACAAAAACAGAGAACATAATCAAACTCTAAATAGTTACATTTATTACACATTATCAGCCTCACTGCTACTGCTCTTTATTCTGTATTTTCAAAAAAAATGCAGGTGAAAGTTGAATAGGAAGATTGTGAGTCAAATTAGTTTTCATTAAAGCTAAAGTAGGAGCCTTTACATCCAAAAGGTGTCTTTGAAGGTGAACTGATAAATGGTAACCCATCTGCTGATGATTTGGTGGAATGTTTATTTATTGTAGACACTGTTAATGAGCTCCAGGATGTAGCTGTCCACAAATACGTATGAAGCCTAAGGATAAATCCTTGTCTTATAGCTGACTTAGGCAGAGAAATATTTAGTTTTTTAATTTATGTAGTCCTAGATGTCTATGAAGATTCTCAGTCATCCAGGTCATAGTTATCCAACGAAGGTTAAAATCAAGGGCAACTGGACTTGGTTGAAGCTACTGGAAGACGTTTCGTCCCTCATCCAAAGGACTTCTTCAGTTCTGACTGACTGGCAGGGAAACTCAGCTATTTAACCTCAGTGGGGTCGTTGGCCCGGGTCATCGATACCGCTGGTTCGTTAGTGTTCCTTGTTGCTGTGACGACAGTCGTTACAGTCGTTAAGACTAACGGTGGCCAAGACTGAACGACCATCGTTGGTATCTTCACCTGAGGCCAAGAGGTTACGTTTGTTGAGTTTCCTGGGAAGTGATGAAAGGACAGCATTGTAAGTGGGGGGTAAGTGGGGGATAAGTGGTGGCGTAGACCCCCTCCCCTGTTCAATGACGGCTTCTCAACCCTGGTGTAGATGGCTTCCTTGACACCTCTTTCAAACCATCCATCTTCTCTGTCGAAAATGTGCACCTGGTGGTCCTCAAACGAGTGTCCTCTGTCCTTCAGATGTAAGTAGACAGCAGAGTCTTGACCTGAGGAGTTGGCCCTTCTGTGTTGAGCCATGCGTTTGTGTAGTGGTTGTTTAGTCTCTCCAATATACAGGTCTGTGCATTCCTCACTGCATTGGACCGCATACACTAGATTGCTTTTCTTGTGTTTGGGTGTGCGGTCTTTGGGGTGTACCAGCATCTGTCTTAGTGTGTTCTTGGGTTTAAAAAACACAGGGATGTTGTGTTTGTTAAAAATCCTCCTGAGTTTCTCTGATACTCCAGACACGTATGGAATCACAATGTTGTTGCGTTTGACCTTCTTTTCCTCCTCCCCTGTAGTTTAGTGTTTAGTGTAGTGTTTAGTGTAGTTTAGCATCTAGTGTATGCGGTCCAATGCAGTGAGGAATGCACAGACCTGTATATTGGGGAGACTAAACAACCACTACACAAACGCATGGCTCAACACAGAAGGGCCAACTCCTCAGGTCAAGACTCTGCTGTCTACTTACATCTGAAGGACAGAGGACACTCGTTTGAGGACCACCAGGTGCACATTTTCGACAGAGAAGATGGATGGTTTGAAAGAGGTGTCAAGGAAGCCATCTACACCAGGGTTGAGAAGCCGTCACTGAACAGGGGAGGGGGTCTACGCCACCACTTATCCCCCACTTACAATGCTGTCCTTTCATCACTTCCCAGGAAACTCAACAAACGTAAACTATTGGCCTCAGGTGAAGATACCAACGATGGTCGTTCAGTCTTGGCCACAGGTAGTCTCAACGACTGTAACGACTGTCGTCACAGCAACAAGGAACACTAACGAACCAGCGGTATCGATGACCCGGGCCAACGACCCCACTGAGGTTAAATAGCTGAGTTTCCCTGCCAGTCAGTCAGAACTGAAGAAGTCCTTTGGATGAGGGACGAAACGTCTTCCAGTATCTTCAACCAAGTCCAGTTGCCCTTCATTTTAACCTTCGTTGGATTATGTAGTCCTAGTTGCCCACAACTTAAATCAGAAATTATGGAGAAATGTGTTTTTACAGCACCTCAAGAAGACTTCCTATAAGAAAGGAAGGTATATTTTGAAAACCTGACGATGTGACACGTGTATCTGTGTATGTAAATTCACAAAGCCGACGCAATTTGATAAATTATGTTGTATGTGACGCTCATATCGTGTACAATTAAGACTTTATAGCCTCTCTTAAGATAATTCTCTCATGCTGCAACACTTATCTTTGTAAAGAGAAAGAAATGACAGAATAAAGTCTTTAACCTGCCTGTCAGGTTGCTCTGCTCTATTTAACTGCATTTATCATAAAGGGTCAAGTACGTGTGCACTCCAAATTTAGTTGTGGCTAACTGACCATTTGGTTCTCACAAACAACAGCTCTCTTTACCGCGATCTGTGTCCGTGTATGCCGCAAACTGATAACTAACTGTCAGAGCATCCAAACGAAAAAGAAAGAAGACATCGCTGATAGAATTATCTTCAAATAGAGACACTTCAGTACACTGATCACCTCACTGAAGGAAGACATCAATAAGTAGCAAAGCTTCTTGACCTCTGTCGTCTGACTGGTCAACCAATAGGTAGAAATGTAAAAAGGGGAGACAGAAATAAATACCATTTAGGAAATAAATATGGTAGAAAATGCAAATGAAGAATAAAACTATAAAATATTAAAAACACACACACACACACACACACACATAAATAAAGATATATGCATTTATGTCTCATTGTATAATTTAATTAATGCCTACATTTATTTATTTACTGTATTTTTTTCAATTATGTCCGGATCCGTCCTCCATACTTGTGGGGCATTCAAATCATCACCACTGATGAACAACACAAGGAATATAATTCTGTTTTTAAACAGTGCTTGGAATAGAACCGTGAGGTACATGCAATTCGACAGGCATGCACATCTCGGCACAAGATCAGTGAATGGCAGGCGAGCAGAGCAGAGAGAAAAGGGTCAACAATAACCCTCTGTTAAGCTGTAAATGTACAGTGTAAGTTACAGTAACTAATGAATAGAGTCTGCAACTCTGCAGCTTCTCAAGATTAAAGCAGAGCTACTGTGTGTAACCCCACACACATACACATGATTCGACGGTCAGTCGACTATAGGCAAAAAGTGACAATTCTGATTCAACTATTTAAATCCTTAGTCGGAGACGGCTCTAATAGCAACCAAAAATGTTTTAGTCACTCGAACCTAAATTTTTTTAAATGGCAGCCCACAAAAACCATGCTGTGGTCAGTTAACAACATGCAGACGCTACTCTGTTTTGTTCTCAATGAAAGGACTGAGCGAGAGTTCTCGCCTATATTGAGAGGGTACTATCTGCAATGTAAAACAAAATTGAGAAAAGTACCTGGTACCAAAAGCGAGCTGAGCAGGGCTAAGCGTTACCATGCATTGGAAATGAGGCTATAAAAACATGATAAAAATTTGTTCACTGTCACAATCAGCTACAATAATGCAGGCTACAGTGTGTGTAAGCATGACAGCACAATTCAGACTGATGGCAGAGACAACTTAAGCCCTGGATATACTTGCTTTTTAACAATGCATAAACAGCTTTGTTCACATACCTGCCTGCGTAATTTGCATGTACCTGGAGGATTAAACCTGAATCCACTAGGGGGCAGACCAGGACGAGGTAATGATTGCCAACACCGCATTATCTTCCTTGACAACCTCCGAATTTGCACACGCAAACAAACATAGCGACACTTGAGCAGGTTGTGATTTTAATGAGACATAATCTCGGTAATTGTGGACTAGCACCAGGAGTTTTACTGTAAACATCCCGCCACAAAGATCCTTTTTTAAAGTCTGCTGCTGACTTTCTTCTTATTTTGCGTTTAATGACAGTTGCCAAACCAACTGCATACCGCCACCACCTGGGCTGGTGTGTGGATCAGTAGATTGCTGCTGACCTGCCGGTCAGATCGACATACTGCCCCCACGTTCATGTGTGGAATTGCATCTCACGGACGCATTGCGTAAATTTCTGGAGCCTTGCAAGACCTACGCTCCAAAGGAACACGCAGGAGACGCATGGCAGCCATCTTGCGAACGCGTAGTTAAAAGCAAGAATATCCAGGGCTTTAGAAGACGTGTTTAGGGGCCTGACTGCCTGGAGGAAAAAGCTGGTTCAGAGCCTGTCAGTAGCAGCCCAGATTTTCAAGTACCCGGACCAGGTAGGTGAGCAGGGGAGGGGAGGAAAGACTCTGCAACAATGGTGGCTGCACAGCGGATGCAGTGTTGGTGAAAGAGGTCCGTGATGGATAGGAGATAGCCCCTGATTATTCTCTCAGCTGTCCTGACTTACCCCTATGTTTTAGCTGCTGTCAGCCTGTTCATCAAGTGTGCAGTTGTTTTCTGTTGTAGTAGGTTCTAACCGTTAGTTTTCCAAGAGTGTTCCATTTCATTGAAATACATAGCATGTAATTTCCCACTTTTTGCAGTAACTCTGTTTGTAATTTGTAAATATTTAAAATTGTACAATTTACCGACTCACGATTCACAAAGTGCCACAGCCTCATAATGTTTGACATGTTATGTCTTATCAATCAGCAGGTTAAATTCAACAGAGAACTAAATCTTTTTAAACTGAACAACTACAGTGGCTCCACCAGAACACCTTGACGTAGCAGTATAACTCAAGTTTTTGAGAGACAATTGTTTTGAATTGGCGCTACATAAATAAAATTTAAATTATTGAAGTTTTGGAATGCTCCTCACTGGGCAATGCTTAAATTAAGTGAACATGTATCATGGATCATCACATCACGCCATAATATTTCAAAAGCTTGGATACATAAAATATTTGGTCTGCTCAATGTGTGTGTGTGTGTGTGTGTGTGTGTGTGTGTGTGTGTGTGTGTGTGTGTGTGTGTGTGTGTGTGTGTGTGTACCTGAGCCGCAGTTGCTGAAGCTCCTGCAGTTCTCCCAAAGCACAAGGTAAACTGTTCAGCTGATTGTCATGGAGCTGCCGGAGCAAAATGAACATTTTATGTAACAGCTAAAATTAAAATGACCTCATCACTTTGAGTAACACTACTGATGCCTCACTGTAACACAACCCATCAATATCTGCAAATAATAAAGGCAGTCAAAATAGATGCTATATATTTAGTCTTAGTGACATGGTACATAGCAGGTTCTACAGTTAGAAAGTTATTAGGTTAGGCTAGGGCCACATTAAAGAAGCTCTGGGTCAATGGATCAGAGCGGCCACATTGTTACTATTTGTACTAACTTAGCTTGTTTGTTATTTCACCGTTTTAATTATACTTCATTCTCCACCTTATTTAAGTGTCACTCATTTATTGATTCTGCCTCCTTCAGTGCTCTTCACACTCACAGGCCTAATGTACCTCTGCTGCAAACAAGACAGTGTGCCCACTTCTTTTGGTCAGCGAAAAAAAACCCCAAAAAACAGCGCTGCATGTTGAGGAGGCGTGTTGACGAGGTAATCTATCGAAACAAACCCAACATGGTAGCTTAACGAATGACATCTGACTGGTGTCTTCACTGTCGCTTTACTTGGTCTGCTCTTGTGAAATATCCACCGTGTTCTGACTTGTAACACAACAATTTGTCTCCAAACCCGGGCAGACCGCTGAAGTGTATGTGTGGGAAACACAGACTGAATCAGCGTTTTTTTCTTTTTACAAGCCAGGTCTTCAGGAGTGTCGACCGGCACTGTCTCCCTCCGTGTTGTTAGAGAGTTTGAGAGTAGACGGCAGCATGCAGAGGGAGAGCGAGGACCAAACGCTGGCAGGATTTTAAAGAAACATTTAACTCAACATCAAACTATATTGGTATAAACGGTATTAGGGTTGCTACCTGTCAATACAGAAAAATAAGTGACACCTGCCAAAGCAGGGGCCCCACTGTCCCGGCAAAGACAGGCCCGATGGTCTGCCAGTGGTGGCATATCATAACTTAAAATATGTTTTCAGGAAAGTATTAAGATTGATACCAATGAATGTTATGATCGGCTATTGAAATCAACAGAGGAACTCAGTCTATCACAACTCAACAGACTAGTGATCATATTGTCATAGCTGAATACACAGCTATGACAATAATAATAAACATAGGACAACAATGTGTGACAGACCACAAAAAAAGGATGTAAACTGTATTTTATTAACTTATTATATCAACATGTCCATAACTTAATTATCTATAAATAGGCTAAAACAAATGCTTTGATAGGATTCGACTGGAAAGACTTTTACATAAAAATCATGAACATCATTGGACCAGAAGTAGTAGGCCTTGTGTGCAGTATTGGAGCGTGTTAGGCCCACTTAATTTTATAAATGTTTTCTTGTCAGAAGTACACTACTGGTGCAGCACTGAGTAACAGTTTGTCTTTCAGAATGCTACAGTAAAACTGAACAGAAAAAGCTCACTCCTAATGATTTCCACAGAGCACCTGTTCTTGCTGAGAAATTGCTAATGAACCTGAGTAATTGTAAAGGGTGGTGTGAACACAGATTTTGGCTAAAATGTGTGTCATTGTTTGCAGTAATACCATCCAAACAATGAAACCATACATAAATAATCCATCTACAAACATTTCTCAATTTAATTCAACAGCATTTTAATGACTGTATGTAAATATATTTACAGTGGGGAGAACAAGTATTTGATACACTGCTGATTTTGCAGGTTTTCCTACTTACAAAGCATGTAGAGGTCTGTAATTTTTATCATAGACTTCAACTGTGAGAGACGGAATCTAAAATAAAAATCCAGAAAGTCACACTGTATGATTACCCACTCATTACCTGTATTAACTGCACCTGTTTGAACTTGTTACCTGTATAAAAGACACCTGTCCACACACTCAATCAAACAGACTCCAACCTCTCCACAATGGCCAAGACCAGAGAGCTGTGTAAGGACATCAGGGATAAAATTGTAGACCTGCACAAGGCTGGGATGGCCTACAGGACAATAGGCAAGCAGCTTGGTGAGAAGGCAACAACTGTTGGCGCAATTATTAGAAAATGGAAGAAGTTCAAGATGACGGTCAATCTCCCTCGGTCTGGGGCTCCATGCAAGATCTCACCTCGTGGGACATCAGTGATCATGAGGAAGGTGAGGGATCAGCCCAGAACTACACGGCAGGACCTGGTCAATGACCTGAAGAGAGCTGGGACCACAGTCTCAAAGAAAACCATTAGTAACACAAATCCTGCAGCGCACGCAAGGTCCCCCTGCTCAAGCCAGCGCATGTCCAGGCCCGTCTGAAGTTTGCCAGTGACCATCTGGATGATCCAGAGAGGAATGGGAGAAGGTCATGTGGTCTGATGAGACAAAAATAGAGCTTTATGGTCTAAACTCCACTCGCCGTGTTTGGAGGAAGAAGAAGGATGAGTACAACCCCAAGAACACCATCCCAACCGTGAAGCATGGAGGTGGAAACATCATTCTTTGGGGATGCTTTTCTGCAAAGGGGACAGGACGACTGCACCGTATTGAGGGGAGGATGGATGGGGCCATGTATCACGAGATCTTGGCCAACAACCTCCTTCCCTCAGTAAGAGCATTGAAGATGGGTCGTGGCTGGGTCTTCCAGCATGACAACGACCCGAAACACACAGCCAGGGCAACTGGCTCCGTAAGAAGCATCTCAAGGTCCTGGAGTGGCCTTACCAGTCTCCAGACCTGAACCCAATAGAAAATCTTTGGAGGGAGCTGAAAGTCCGTATTGCCCAGCGACAGCCCCGAAACCTGAAGGATCTGGAGAAGGTCTGTATGGAGGAGTGGGCCAAAATCCCTGCTGCAGTGTGTGCAAACCTGGTCAAGAACTACAGGAAACGAATGATCTCTGTAATTGCAAACCAAATATTAACTTCTGCTTTTCTGATGTCATGCAATAAAATACAAATGAATTCTTTAAAAATCATATGTGATTTTCTGGATTTTTGTTTTAGATTCCGTCTCTCCCAGTTGAAGTGTACCTATGATAAAAATTACAGACCTACAGACAGAAAATCAGCAGCGTATCAAATACTTGTTCTCCTGACTGTATATATTTATTTTCAGTTTTCATTCAGTCTATTGTTCATTCTATAGTATGGAAGGATGCAATTCTATAGACTGGTTAAGCATAACACAGTTGTTTAAATTCTTCACATAGGCACTATATTTTGATAATTAAATGTGTATTAAATAGCCTATATCTCTTATCTTTTATTGAATTAATGCTGATGGGTCCGACTGTATACCTCTACCTTAAAAAACAAATCATACCATAATGTAGGCATGTGCTTCATTTACATTGTAACAATATTTCTTAACAAATAAGCAGCATATGAAATCCATCGTTATCTATCAAAAATGTGTACGTTTTATTAAATTATTACACTGCCTTGTAATGCTGTCATACGTCTGAACGGCCACCATGCACCACACAGAACTGTGCCAATTTTTTTTTTCAGGTCATTAGATGGCGGGCCAGAACATAGTCAATTTATTATTTTATGATCTTAGCTCAGTCAGTAGTGCGCAGAACTCCTGTTTGAAGGGCTGTGTTCAATTCTCCCTTGCTGCTTGTATTTTTTCTTACTTTCAACAAATTGATTATGAGAGATTGTTTTACATCAAGCACAATTAAGCATGTGCAGGAGTGTGTGTCCTTTCGACTGGTCCACATTAATTTCCCCAGTATCTCCAGGCAGAGAAAATTCATGCTTTCTCATTCAGGGGAATCCGATCTCACGTTTTCTGACAGCTTTTTCAGAGGTGTGTCAAGCAAGCCAGAATTTCCTTCAAAACTTTCAAAATAAAAGCTCTCAAATAAACATGGCATATAGTACTCTGCAAAAATGATCTCGCACTTGTATTTTGTAGCCACAACACTTAAAAGGCAGTGCCAGCTGCTATAATTTTTTTTACCGCTATCACATTAATCTGGCCATGTAGTTACAGTGGTTGCCTATTGCCGACCACTGTAATACTACATGACTGTCTACAATGAGGACCTGCAGCTTTGAGATTTCACACTAACGTTTCACATTTGAAGGAGGCGCTAGAGAACTTTGTCTTTCAGGAAGCCGCATTACATTCTGTTCAGCTCACATTTATGTCCTATCTGGTTAATCATTTCAGACTGTAACTACAGACAAGCAGCTAGCTGCAAAATTGGAAAACTGCGCAGAGGATGGCAAGAACTATTGATAGCAAGTTCATACTTTCCACTTCAGTGCGTGTTAAATTAATAACTTAGTGCTTGAAAAAAATTTCACAAGCATAACAAGCTCTGTAACAATTTAACGACAGGTCGCCATGGGCTGTAAATGACTTACAGCGCTGTTGAGCCCCAACAAATTACCGCGGGAAATTAATTCACTGAGACATCCCTACAAGGAGCTCACAGATATATTTAGAACAAGCTAAACACTATAGTTTAATCGCTCATTAATGTTAGCGCTCCTCCACTGAAAAAATAGCATTGGCTTTGTGCTAATTTAGCCTTTAAAACGGGCAGCGTTAGCTGCTGTAAGCGATGTTATATTTAGAAGTGATGAACTAGGGAAATGATAGGACTGTTTTTAGAATTGCCACACCGTTTCAGAAATAATTCTACAATCAAGTCTGTTAGCAGCTAGCCTCCACCACTCACCTACTGTAACATAGGGCTGAACGAGTTGCGGAAAAAATCCAATTGCAATTTCTCTGCCAGATATTGATATGTGATTCGATTTGCAATTTTTGGTTTGTTTTAAGTTTAGCTCAAGTTCAATTCACTGCCAGTCAATTTCTGATGGAAGCCGCATCAAGCAGCACAGAGCCGATGAACCAGGCAAGAAGTCAGACACAGAACGGCATAGAGAATCCGGTCGATTTGCAGACTCCTGAACCTATATAAACAATAAACAGACAAAGAATAATAATAGAAGCACTAAATAAAGGACAACAGAACAATCAACAAAATCTGAACAGTCCAAAATCAGGCAGGCAAAGGCT